ATTCCTGAAGACAGGACATATTTCAGATATAGGTCTTGGAGCAATGAAGAAGGAACTGAACTGGAAGCCTTCTACTCAAAGTTTAGCTCTCATAATACTCGATGATAATATGTAAACTGCCAAGGGAGAAAAATCAATCAGTGTTCCAACACAGCTCTAAAGCCTAATAACCATAATGACCAGCAAACTGCTGCTATTGGTGCAGTAGTGGCACTGTTATCTGGGGGTAATCAACAGCTATCTATTTAGACTTAAAACACTCTCAATGGAAATAAACTCATAGCTGGCACTGTAAACTCAGCCAAATACACATAACTTGAAAGGACATAAATCCTAGAGAAAACTCATTTCTGTCATATCTCTAAACAAATAAAATTCCTTACCATATGCCACATATGGATCCTTATAGTTATGGACAGTCATACCATACACTGCTCATCAAAAAAGCTTCTTGTAACAGATAAAAGCTACTGCAGAATTCCACAACTGATCAGACACAGAGAATATACATCTGAGAGATGCCCATTCCTAGGTAACACATCTATAGTTGAATCTTTATACCTAAGGCTCATGGGTATGAAGGGTTATAGAGAATGAGGGATAGAAAGAAAACTAATACATCTTTCATCTCTCACCAGTGAAGCTTCCTCACACAGAGTGCAATGCATACAGAAACCCGCAACTGGCCAAATTTTAAAGAATAAGAGACTGTAGCGTGTAGGATAGGACTCCTATATGGAAACTCATCCACGAATGGCTCAGGGACCATTGCATAAGAGGGAGCAGAAAGACTGTTAAGAGCCAGGGCTGGTTCATGAACACAGGGAAGCAGAGGCTTTTAGGACACTGGATGCTTGCACATGTGAACTTGTGACAATGGTGGCATTGAGCACAGGACCCATGCCAACTCAATCAGACAAAGGCCCAGATGAGAGGAAAGAAATGGGTGGTAGGCTTGCCCTAGACTGAGAACTACTAGAGACTGACTACTACTGGGTAAAGGAGGTTATGCTTTACTTACAGTCTCTAAATAGACTTACTAGACTCCAGTGGATGAATTTTCACTGAAGATTATCTGGGTACAAGTGCTTGACTGAATAAGACTTAACATGTATGGCAAAATATGTGAGATCTGGTGGGGAGTTGGGAGAAATGGATAGGAGAGGGGGGTCTAAATTTGATTAAGAAGTGTTGCATGAAATGTACAAAAGCTCAATAAAATAAATAAATAAATAGTAAATAAATAAATAAAATATTGAAAAGACAAATACACACACACGCACAGCCCTAAGTGACACATCTGCAAGCAACCTTTATAGTTAAGGCTCAAGGAGCAGAGTGGAGCCGAGCAAAGCGATGTGTCTCTTAACTCTCACCAAAGAAGCTTCCTTATGCAACAGATGGTGAACAACACAGAAATCCACAACTGGCCAAAAGGTAGACTAAGAGACTCCAGAGTGCATGTCCTTGGATAAGACTCCTATACTAAACCTCTGTGGCCCAGAGCTCAGGTACCACTGGGGAAGAAGGGGCAGAAAGAATGTAAGAGCCAGGTGTGGTACATGACCACAAGGAAACAGAGTTTTCCAGGCAGCTGGGGACTTGCTAATATGAACTTACAGTAATGGTGACAATGTGCACCTGGCCCATGCAAAATCAGTCAGACAAAACCTTGCATAAAACTGGGAAAATGGGCAGGAGGCCCCAACCTTAGCTGAGGAACTATTGGCAACTGATCACTGCTGGGTGAGAGAGAATTGGTCTTCTTTAAGGGAGTGATTCAAGACAGCCTGACCAGGTGCCATTAGATGATCTTACACTGGGTGACATCTGGGGACACAAGCTTAACTATGTAGGCCTTAATATATATGACAGAATGCATGAAATCTGATGAGGGGTTATGGGAAGTATACAGAGATGGGACTCTAAATATGATTAAGATGTATTGCATGAACTGCACAAAAATTTAATGAAAATAGAAAATAATAACAATAAAAAAGGGATTAAAAAAGTAATTTTCTCATTACTATAAACACAGTTATATACATTATCTTTTACTCCATAATATATTTTAAAATATATTAGCTGCTGTTATTTCTCCTTTGTTGAATTTTAACCTCAGGTTGTATTTTAATGGAAACTAATGAAGCAAATTAATGTTAATTCATATGTAAATTAGTTCCAAAATTTATATTGTGAAATTTTCTTACAGGCCATGAACAACTAACAATGAATTGTCAAATCTGGAATTGAGACAACTACCCCCCTTGCCTGCCCTCCCACCTACTTACTCAAGCCTTCTTGAGCTGTTTCCTTGGCTTCTCGAACTGAAATACTCTTTCCTTCCATTCTAAGTCACATCTGAATAGCTCATACCTCTATAAAGACTAGTTTATCACTCCCTAGGCCAGCTTTCTGCTATTACACCGCCCAGAATGTTTGATGGGCTTTGCTTAGGGCATCTACCGTGTCTCATCTTGTGCCCTAATGATTTTCTCTACCTACTAAACTATAAACCATTTTAGATCAGAAAACATACCCTTTTTGCTTCCTATCAGTTGTCTGGTCTCATTCTTCTTCAACACAGCACGTGTACAACTGATGAAGATTACAGATTCTGTCACTGGAGATGATTGAGATTGCACTGGACCACTTCAGAGATATGATTTTCAGTAAATGCCCAGAATACACAGCTCCTCGATTCCCTTCTCACTAAAATATGTAAGATACTACCTAGTCCTCAGAGTCACTATAAGAGTAAATTCATTTGTATAGAAATATTCATTTGAAATAATACAGCAGAACACAGTCTCGGTTATTATTAGCACTTACAGTTTTAACCGACAGCAAATGCTCAAGCCATTTAAATATGAGTTAGTCACAAATATTTTTTTAATTCTATTACAAAAATTCAACTCTACATAAAGAAAAAATTATCTGGTAAACTACCATTTCCTTGATAGTTTCAAGATTTTGCCATGTTGTCTTTATACATCATAGAAGTTTCTTCCCTGACATGTTATAAATCAAACTCTAAAAGTCATAGTGTCAACTGGGAACATAATAAATAAAAAATACTTGCTAAGTGATCATTGCCTGGGAAGAAGCTGGAGATCACGTCTGGTCTCTTTGTTCTAAATTACCTAATTGTATTAGAGAAAATATTTTGACTGCAAAAAAATTGACAAATATTTCAAATTGATACATTGACTCTAATTAAAACTATAAAGCTGTGCCAGATAGTTTGACACACCTGAGAAAACGGAACCTTAGTTGGGGGGATGTCCTCTACCAGATTGGCCTGTGGGCTTGTCTGCAACACATTTTCTTCATTTTTTAAGTAATGTGGGAAGGCTCAGCCCACTGTGGGCAGTGTCACCCCTGGGCAGGTGATCCTGAGTTGTGTAAGAAGGCAAGCTGAGCATAGACCAAAGAAATAAGCTAGTAAGCAGTTTCCTCCCTTCAGGGTCTCTGTTTCAGTTCCTCTCTTGAGCTCCTGTCCTGTCCCTGCTCAATGATCAACCATAAGTTCTAAGGTGAAATAGACACTTTCTTCCCCAGGTTGGTTTTGGTCAGTGTTTTACCACAGGAATAGAAAACAAACTAGGACAAAAGCCCTCAACTTGTTAAAGTAGCCCTAAGAAGAAAAATAATAGTTTCTTTTAGTTGAAGAAAACTGATAATCCTTTGTTTCTATTGTTTGTTTCTAAGTCTGAACATTGTGTTTTATAAATGTGATTATTATTTAATGTGTACTATATATGCTGTCAAATAACACATGGAAAAACATAAAAATACTTTGAACACAAATACAGACACATACAAACACACATATAGTATGAGTTCATTGAGTATTGTTTCTTTACAGGCAGGCAACATGCTTGCTTTCATCTCTCATAGTTCTGTACTGAAGGTGTCAAATCGGATTCTTTCATGAAATAGAGGCTCAAGAACTTACATATCTTGATGATTTTATATTCATAGGTGTATATTACATTAACATATCCTGCTCATTGAGTAGTACTCATATTTTAGTATCACATTTATTTTGAATAAAATGTTTCTGGAATTACAGATACTGAGCAGGTGGTATTTATCTTATGATACTCTTGTTCTTAAAAACAAGAATCGCTTATATATATATATAT